AAAAGAAAGAAAGAATTGAAGAAGGTATGGAACCCCTCACACATTCTAGTAAAACTGTAAAATGGAATAGTAACTGTGGGGCTGCTAATCCTAAGTGGCCTGTTCGGCCACCATTTTTTGTTACCTGCAGTACTGCATTCCTATACAAGGTTAGAATTGTCGTGTCAATCAGTCCCAGGAGCCAAACCTTACAAGGTGCCTTTCAAATCAACCAAGAGCAGAAAGCTTGATCACTGGGAAGGCCATGCATCTCGAGGTATAATGGGGAACACCCAGGGGGGCCAAGGATCATGTATGACAAGGGCCCCCAGTAACTAATCAGTGGAATGCCTTGTTGATAAGACTGAAACCATGGCTGGCGATCTAGGGCTTGATCTCAATTACAATGCCAAGTCTTCAAGCAGATGAGAAGTGCCTGGAGGGCAGACTCACAACTCCTAATACTATAGATGACAGAGCACATTTGCTAGTTTCACCCTCTCTTTCCTTTTTGTCCTCCTTCCTCTCACAGCTGATGCTGTTGATTATTCCAGCACTAAAAAGGCCAGGATCTTGAGGCAGCATCCTGCATCCTACAGCTTGCTCCATGACTTCCGTTTGTCAATGAAGTGCAGTGTGGGCACAGGCCAGAGATGCGGGGTGTTGGGGGGATGAGGGTGAGAGGATCCACCAGAGACAGAGTGAGGAACAGAACAGGTAGACTGACCGAAATACACTGCTGAGGGGAGTAGTGGGCAAGAAAGAAGAGGTCCACCTCGCCATGTGGGTTTCTCCCTGGCCGGCCAGGGATCGAACTCGTGCTGCAGAAGCTACAGATTGCTTCATAGTGTGGTGCTTAACCCCTTGTGCCACCAGGGAGGCCCGAAACCTGGTTAACCTTTTGTTAACCACCAAATTTCCAACTCAAATAGTTAGAGTTACCAAATGATCCAGACATTCCACTAAGTTTATAGCCAAAAGGAGGACAAACAGGTACTCAGATACTTGCACATAAATGTTCAGAGCATCATTGTTCAGTCGCCAAAAGGAAACAACCCAAGTGCCCATCAACTGATGAATAGAAAAGCAAATTATGGTGTCCATATGATGGAATATTATTCAGTGAACAGAGGAATAAAGTTTTGATACATGCTACTATGTGGACAAAACTGGAAGGCATTATGCTTTGTGAAAAAAAAAAAATCTTGTACAAAAGGTCACATATTTTATGATTCCCTTTACATGAGCCACTCAATAAGCAAGTCCATAGAGACAGAAAGCAGATTAGTAACTTCCAGGTACACAGGGGAAGACTGATGGAATATGACTGCTTAATGGGTATAGGGCTCCTTTGGAGATGATGAAAATATTTTGGAACTAACTGGAGGTAATGATTGAGCAACACCAAATGTACTGAACATGGCACAGATTTGAAAACACTCTACCTCCTATGTTGTCTGTTTCATGGCAATTCTTCAGTTATGATAACAAAAAGATTATGACAACTTGCCCCCAGTGTTTCTCATCAGAGTCAAACTTCTCCCACTAGCTTTAGCAGTCAAAGTCACATTGGAGGGAGTAGGAAAGATGACAGATGAAAGAATTTTTGCCCATACTGCATAGTCCTTTACCTGTGCCAAAACCTTATTGAAGATTTTAAAGGGCCTCTTCTTCCTTGTAAAAGGTGTAAGGTATTCTTCCCTCTAAAACCAACTCTTGGGTAACAAAAAAAGTTGAGGAAAGGGATGGGGAAAGGCTGGAGATAAGGGGTGGAGGTGGTAGGACTCTGCCCCAGGGGCTAGAGTTTAGGATTAGGAAGACTGAAAAAGAGGATTTGAGTAGTTGGTTGGCTTAGTTACCAGTTGAGATTCCTAAGCATCCATCCTTGCTTCTCAACTTGTTATCTAGGAAACCTCAGGTAGGCTGCTAAATCTATGCAGGGTTCAGTTTCCTTACCTGTAAAATGGGAATGAAGAAATACGTGCTTCCAAAGGACTTTTTTTTAGAGAATACCATGAGAAGATACATTTTTCTTAGCTTACCTTATGCTAACAATCATCAGGAGTGTTTTATAAACAAGATCCCATACCTCTTAACAGAATCATAGGGCTCGGGGAAGGGCCTGGGGTTATATTTTGATGCTTTCTTTAGGGGATTCTTATATTCTAGTTAATACTATAGTTATAATCTAGCTATATACTCTACTACATCTACTGGCTTTAAGCAGTTAATGTGCTAATCATTATGAGAATTTTAGATGATGATTTTAATGGACTAACACTATGCCTAGAAGTCAAAATGATTAACCAAAAAATGACAAAGACTCTCTCAATATTTTGTTTTCCATATTATACCAAATAATTGAATTTACTTTTTCTTCATTCAAAAGACTAAAATTGAACAGAAAAATTAGTAACAATTTAAGCTTCAGAATAAAAGATGACTGTATTGTCAGCAATTAGGACAGCCATTTGAGAGCTATTTCTATTTGGCAATTGGAGGAAATAGAAATTAGAACAGATGAGAAATCTCTACTCACTTCCTAATTAGATTTCTTGTGTCAATGAGTAAGAATCTTCAAAGAATAGTAGTCCATTGGTCTGAGAATATGCTTATGATTTTACCTGATTGAAATAGAGCCAAATGTTCCAATTAGATCTGGTTAATCCAACCACGCTGGCTTTTCAATGTCTGACCATGGTATAGAGTATGGAAATTTTATATTGAACTTCAGACACATATATCTGAAACAATATCCTTCTGACATATCATATGTTTGGATATTTATTCAATTTTTCCCTTTATTTTTCTTTTTTAATGTTGCCTGCAGTCCACTAACTTTGCCTTGACAACTCCCATTTGTCCCAAACCACCAGTAGGTAGCATGTAAAATTTGAGGAATAATGCCCCAACATGTGTACCAAAATTTGTATTTTCACTGTAAATTAAAAAAAAAAAAAAAACAATTGGTTTGGAGCAAAAAAAATCAAAGATGAAAAATTACAGTTTGCAAATCACCAGAGGAAAGAGATAAAGCAGTGATTTTGACCTTAACTCAACCTGGAACTATAGAAGAGGAAATGTTATGTGTCACTTCGAAGTTTATTATCAGTTACAAACAAAATAACTACAAAAGTTTGTTCACGAATGTAGGTATTTTTGAGTGTAAATCTAAATGTCAGAGACAGTATGAAAGCATGATTTGAGCAACATGTTCTTTGAGAGGAAATGACCAAGGTGTGGATAGATTGCGCATTTAATATTGCATTGATAGTCAGCCCCTTTGTTTCATTATTTTATGTCTTTTGCTTCTTTTCCCTTTCCTTTTATAAACTGTTTGTCTTAGAATTTGGCACAAGAGATTTCCTACATTGTGTGATTAAGTGGAAATGTTCTATTTTGCTGTAGTAGAGGGCTTTATTTTTGATAATGCAATTCATACTGGAAGATGACACCGGGACTTAAGTGACAAATCAGACATACTAGGCTTTAGTTCTACCTCTCCACTTACTGCTTATGCAAACATAGATCATTTCATTAACCACTTCAATACTAGTTTTCTCATGTGCAAAATAGGCATGATGCACAACTCATAAGACTTTATAAATTCCTGGAGATTATGTATTACTATAGCACTTATCACAGTAATACTCCCTAATAAAGTACATATACCATGTCAGTTATTGGATACAAATTTGTGACAAATCAGGTGTCTTTTTCCCTATATACTTGGTGATGAAAGATTCAGAAAGAAGCAAATTAGGGGGTCTTCCTAGTGGCACAGGGATTAAAAACAGCACTATCAAGCTATTGCCGGCCACTGCAGCATGAGTTCAATCCCCAGCTGGCCAGGGAGCTAACACATGGCCCAGCAGACCTATCCTGTCTCACCCACTGCTCCCCTCAGCTGTGTATTTCAGTCAGTCTGCCTGTTATATTCCCCACTCTGTCACTGGTGAATCCCCTCACCCCCTCTAACCTTGCACCTCTGGCTTGCATCCCAGTTTTTGTATGCATAAATAAATAAATCTTTAAAAAAATAAGAACCACATTAGCCATTATCAACTATTTGATTGGATGATTCTCACTGACTCTGGTAATTGGTTCAGCTCACATTAGGTCAGAATTGTAGCCAGAATTTGTCTACTGTTAAAGCTAAAAACAGAGGGGTATGTGTTAATCAGTGTAGCTTATAAAGACAAAAGCACCCTCTGTGCATAAATATTTCATTAAAGTGTCAATAATTCCCCAATTTGGAGTAAACATTAAATCTGAAAAAATATAAAAACAATCTTTTTCTTTCTTAAGTTAGGAAATATGTGGAAAATAAGATAATAAACACAGTTTAAGCACACCCACCTTTAAGGAAACTTAACACTTAGCCATGTATTTCTCAAAATTTTTCAAACACATTATAGTAGCAATTCAATATCACTTTCTCTTAAGAGGTGGAAGGGAGGGAGGGGGGGAAAGGAAGGAAGGAGAGGTTGAAAAGGAGGGGAAAGGAAGGAGGGAAGTAGAGCAGAAGGGAGGGCAGGAAGGAAAGACTAGGAGAGACGGCTGTTTATCCATGTTTATATTTATAATTCTAATTTACTTATTTAGCCTCCACATATTAATTCACATAAAAATTCCCACAGTGTATTACTACTATTAAAGTCAAACATCTAGATTGTTTTCAATTTTTTACAATTAAAATGAATGCTATGATAACACAATCTAGCATAAGAGTATGAAAAGGCAGGATCTGAGGATATATAAATTTTCACATTTACTGGATATTATTAAATTATTTTCCAAAATGGTTGGGGAACTGTCATTTCTCTACATTTTGCACAACATTCAGAATTGTCTGATTCTGTATTATTGTCCACCTACTGAGCATGAAATGATATTTCAGAGTTTAGATATATTTTCTCATAATGACATCTTGATTTCTTTCTTTGAGAATTGCTAAGTTTTGTTTATTTTCTACTGGGAAGGCTTCTGTTATATGGTATTTGATATGGCAAATATTATGAATGATCTATCTATCGATCGATCGATCTAGCTATCGTTCTATCTATCGATCTATCTATCGGTCTATTCAGTGTTTGCACAAATCGCAATCAAAGTTAGTAGGTGAGGACCCGCAGCTCATCGCGCTCATCGTGGAGCAGCTCAAGAGCCAGGGGCTTTTCGACAGCTTCCGTGGGGACTGCCTGGCCGACGTGGACACCAAGCCAGCGTACCAAAACCTGAGGCAGAAAGTGGATAATTTTGTGTTGACACATCTGGACAAACAAGAGTGGAATCCTACAATGAACAAAAACCAATTGCGAAATGGTCTGAGGCAGAGTATGGTTCAGTCAGGCATGTTGGAGGCTGGAGTGGACAGAATTATTTCTCAGGTGGTGGATCCTAAACTAAACCCCATCTTCAGGCCACAGATAGAACGAGCAATTCATGAGTTCCTGGCAGCCCAGAAAAAAGAAGCTGTGCCAGCACCACCCCTGGAGCCAGAAAGCCAGGACCCTCCAACTCCATCCCAGGATGCTTCCTAAGGCTATGCCTGGCACCTTTTGGAAGCGCCACTGAATTAGTGGTGAAGAACAGATACAGTTCATAAGAGTACAATTTCAGAATGAAGACAGGGCAAGGTCATCACTGACTTCAAGATTCAGCCTTGACTGAGGGGCAGTATCCAGATTGAACAGGGAACAGGTTTGGTGTTAGGAAAGGTGAACCCTTGGGAGTGAACACTACAGAGACGCAAAGAAACACTACAGCAATTTGGTGTTGTCCTGAAACAGACCTTTATACTTGAACTTGGAAGCTGCGGATTTTAGGATTTGTCCTTAGGAATAGGAAAAGCTACAATAAGAAACATAGGCAGTCCCAAAGAGGCCATTTCAAAGACTAAGGACAGAAAAGGTTAGCTGGGAGTAGGGGTGATGGTGCTCATTTGATACTGTTTCTCAGAGTCGCAGACCCAGTTGTACAAGTTACTGGCATCAAAAAGCCTTCAAGTCGTCATGAGCCTCGTACATGAACCATGTAGCTTCAGTTGCCTTTTCCTGCAAGAGGCAACAAAACACAGGACCCTAGAATTGTGAGGAAGCACAGACATTGGGGATAAGGAAAATATTTGCAGGCTTTCTGTCCAGGCTTCTTCCTATCCTGCAAGGGCTAGTGAGTCTTGGGGTGTTTATTTTATTCTCATGTTTGTGTTTTTTTTTTAGAAAAGTGAAAATGGCTTAAGTTTTGTAATAAAATCATTTGATACCGTTTAAAAAAAAAAACAAAACGAAGTTAGTAGGTGAACCACCAACACTGCAGAATCCAAAAACAATCTGTTTATATACAAGTTCATCCCTGCGAATCCAGGATGTTCTAGAACACTAAGGCTCAGAACAACTTATTTATACACACAAGTTCATCACTTCGCTTATTCCACAAACCCATATCAGATTCCTCCAAGGTAAACATAATGAAATATGCCTCCCTGACCACCTACTATTTATCTAGTTTACCTATGACTTTTTCATATATTTTGACCACAAGAAGGGAGTTATTTAACCAAGGCAACAATTAAACCAACAAGTCCAAGTCAAACCTTCTGATCCATGTTACCAAACTTTTAAGAGATTTTGGTTCATTTCATCCTTATAATGAGGAAAATCATGCCATAATCCTCATTAATTTACCTGATTCATCACCATGACTTGGTGACTTGTATGTACAAGTTGCTGCAAAATCCCTGGTATAATGCTATCTAATTCTACTAACCTTGTCACATTTTCCTCCTCTAATGTGGTATATTCCTCTTCTGATTCACACCACCTTATAATTCTATGCAAATTCTCATAGAAATAAAACCTAGCAACAAATATTTTTTATTATTTCTGTAAGCATATATTCCTAGGAAAATTTGCATGAATTTTTTTCCATACAAGCAGTTTTGAAGAGCCAATAGAAAATAAAAACAAATCAAACATGATGCTAGTAACCAATGTACTTGGATATATTTTATTTTTGTTCCACCTAGAATATTAACACATTAACTTTATTTTTTATTCTCTCTTTTACTCAGGTCATTAATTCATCTATTTTTTAAAGGAGGTTTGGTTCCCTGCTAAAATTAATAAACACCATTTCAGGTAATAGACTTTTCTGAACTGTCCCCACATATGGCAACTTAGTCTAAAAACTTACCAGATATTAGGGGCTTCTTCATAAAATGGATAAAAAACATCACTGTATGACTAAAGAAACCACATTATTTTTACAGTGTAGAAGCATTGCTAAGCTTTTGCCTTTTTTTTTTTTTTTTTTGATTAATTTCATGCCTGACTCAGTCAGAGATTAGGCCTTGACACAGGTTATAATTAAATATTGAAATCATGAAGTGCAAGAATGTTTAATTTTTAAAATATGAGTTTTAATTTACCTCATACAGAGAATAGCTCTGGTCACCTGCAGAGATGCATTACACACTACATTGCCTAATGTAGGATGCCTGAATAAGGCTGAGCATACAGTTAAAGTAAACTAATGCAATTTACTGAACAGCAGTCAAATATTTATCCAGTTGATGAAGCAGACTTTATGTGAAACTCAGACAATAATTAAAGAGAAGCCTTGCTTAAAACATGCTTACTCCAGTTTTCACAAATACATTATATCCTTTCTGCATCTTCCATTTTTCTAAATATTTCTCGATACCTGAAACACTCCGCAGTGAGCATCCTATAGCATTATATTCATGAATCTCCTGATAGTTCATGGTAGTTTAAGGTGGGAAAGTAGACCAATTGCAAAAGCAGCCCCAATTCTTCTCTACCTTGTAGCACACCTTCTGCAATGTGCCTTTGCACCTTCTTCCACTGGAAGTGGAGTCTATTTTCCCGCCATTTGAATCTGCCCAGCTTTAAATTGTGTTGGCCTAGAGTGCGGTGGCTGTATTCTTGTACCATTTCACAATGTCTGCCTCAAGAGACTGCCGGCTTCTATTTGTTTTTTTTTTTTTTTTTTAAAGTGTTTTGCAAGTTTTTTTTTTTGTTTTTTTTTTCTTTTATAGAGGCATGTTTTATTTATTTACTTGTTTGTTCGTTTTTCGTTTATACATGCACTGGGTACAGTCAGAAGTGCGGGAGGGTGAGAGAATTCACCAGAGCCAGAGCGGGGAGCAGAGCAGGCAGAAGGACCGAAGTACACTGCTGAGGGGAGCAGCGGGCGGCAGGAGAGGTCTGCGCACCATGTGGGACCCTCCTCTGGTGGCCGGGGAGCAGCCAGGAATCGAACCAGCGCTGCAGAGGCCGCGGGCAGCTTCGCAACCCAGCGCTCAACCGCTGCGCCACCGGGGAGGCCCCGGCTTCTATTTGTTTCTGTTGGAACCCTGTCACAAACACAAAAACAAGCCCAGGCCACTCCTGGAGGAGAAGAAACCACATGTTGATCATCCTAGATCAGCTCCAAGCCACTCTGTTTTACCACAGTGAGTCCAACTGAGATTAGCTAAACCCAAAGCAGGTCAGCAGATACCTAGATCACATGCAGACACAGGAGACATAATGATTGGTTGCATGTGTCTATGATAGTTTGTTCCACCACAGTGAAACCGAAGTCAAGACTATTATAGCTAATTGAATAGCTAATAGAAGCAGGGTTTGGAGATCTAATTCAGCCTCTCCATTTTCCAGAAGAGAAAACTGAAACCAGGGAGATTAAGAGCCTCATTTACATCTATATACTGTCTGTCAATGGCAGAAGCAGGCCTAGAGATTGCACTGCTCTTCTTTTTATTCTTTTTGGCAACAGAGATCAACAAAAGTTTGCCAAGAGAATTGGAGTTTCAGCATAATAAAATGACATTTGCTAAAAATAATGTAAGGGTCTTACCTGTATTTATTAGTCAGAATATACATATTGTCTGACAGTATTTCTCAGATACTTTTTCCAAGTTATATGAAGATAATTACAAATGACAGAATGAAGATTGTTTTCAAGCACAGTAATCCCATAATTTTCAGTCATTGTAATATTACCATAATCCTTACTTTGGAATATTTCTCAAGTACTAAAGTTAACAAGGATCTTCTTAGAGCTTTGTTGAGAACTAAATTTTTTCCTCTGAATCACTAAAACTATCATCTGGAAAATTACTAATAGGTAGCATGTTAGAGTCATCCTGGAGTAAATTTTAAATATATTATGAACATTTAAGAAATCCTCAAAGCCTAATTATGTTGAATGAGTGAGCAAAGAGAAGTCCATTGTGTCATAGGATAGCTTGTTATGAAATCATGTTTAGTCACATTTGTTCAGGCTTATTATAGAGTAGTAAATTGTTCTATTTTTACTCTGTATCTGCAACTCTGATGTTCCACAATATTGCTTCTCAACATTTAGTTCATCCAAGTTACCTGCAGCTTGTTAAATCACAAATTGGTGGACTCCACCCCAGAGTTCCTGATTCAATAAACCTTAGTTGAGAAATGAGAATCTACATTTCTAACAAGTACTCAGATGTCACTGAAACTGGTGATTGGGGACCACATTTTGAGACTCGCTGCTCCAAAGTTTACAACAATTGCTGAAATAATGAATAGCTCATCTTAGAATATATCTTACTATGATATTTAGTGGGAGCTAAAGGAAGAATACAAATTTATTCAAAATTTAAATTAGCAAGTGATTACACAGTGTAAAATCTGTTGATCAAATTCAACAAGGCAGTCACTATACTTAAGTATTTAAATTGCCTTGACTTATGCTTGAGTTATGTCCAGAGTCTGCCCACAGACCAGAGTGGGAGAGGGTGGTCCTTGTCAAAGAAAACAAAATACACACACACACACACACACACACATATATTGCATATGTCACAAGACTCATAATATTTGGAATTCAGGCAAATTGACTCAAATGATCATCCTCTAAAGGCAAATAATCTACAAGTTTTTCAAAAGTAAAGAAATGCCTACTTCCAATCTACAGCCATTTTTTAATGAGAGTATTCACATAACACTTTCCATGACAACTTCTGCTTTCCATCATTCAACTCTTTGTGAAAATATTCCATTTTTGGCTTACTGACTATATATTTGGGCGTGGTCCAGAAACGAACTTCTTGAAAGGTTTAAAAAAATCATTTCAGTTGTTTTTAATTCCAGACTACTTCAAATAAAGAAAATAAACTACGAAAGGGGTAGTGGGATTTTAATTGCATCTTTTGCATTTAAATATCAGATAGCTTCCTAATGGACCTTTACATATCTATGGCCTCTACAGAAATCTCAAACCTTCCTCAGCTTAAAAACAGTACCAAGATTAGAGAAAGATTGGCGTCTGAAAATGTCCTCTGAGGAAACACACACAAAAGCATATGTGTGTCCTGAAATCCTGAGTATGCACATTTAAGAGGCACCAGCCAACTCGATCTTTCTTCTTGTAGTAAACATTCCTCACTGGGTATTCAGAGAGCCCACTTCATGAGGGGCCCATACAGTATTGTTTATAATTTTTATCAGTGTGGTTTTTCTCCCACCACCTACTTAAAAGCTCATTTTTCCAGTTTTTGTACTTGTTTGAATTGCCTTCTCTTACAAGGAAAAAAAAAAAAAACAAACAAAAAACACTGCAGTGAGCTCACCTCAGACATTGGATAGAAAAGACTTTCTTATCCTTTCTATTTTTAACCTTGAACCTTATCTTAGTCTAAACTTTTCTCATCTTTTAA